AAATACCCGCATTATTCTTCTAATTATATAAACCGCTAACTTGGTGTGTCGGTTTGTATGTATGTATGTGTGTCTGTCTGTCCGTCCGCAAAATGAAGTGAGTGATAAGGCAGCTAATGGAATAAACAAGCCGCTAACAAATCTGGGTAGCTCGCAGGACTTGCGCTATCAATGTTTTGCAATGGCATGATTGTGATAACACTCCCAACGGCTATATAAACTACTTAGCACACTTCGGTCATTCCACAAGGTGCTGCAGTGGCAGCTGGAGAGCAAAGGAGGGATAGGGGAGGGTAAGGGGAGGAGGAAGAATGTCAAGCTTCGCAGGGAAGGTAGGTTGCGGCAGTTGCCGAGGGACCAGCCTGGTAAAGGTGTAATAAGTACGTATTTGTGTAAAATGTAAAGAGATGACCCATAAGACTTTAAAAAAAACAAATGAAATTATAATAAAAAAGAAAGGGAAAATGCTAACTTTATTTTGTAGTGGAAATTCTTCCCATTCCACTCTTCACGTGACATAGGCCGCCAGTGGACTACAATATTCTCTGGACTAGCACCTTTCGCCCATACTCCAGACGGATTCCTATCCGGCTGCTTTGGTGGAGTGATGCACACATCCTTTACTCTCGTTGGTGAGCTGTCACCGACTCCGTTACGGGCCAACACTCGGAACACGTACTAAAATAGGGCCTCCATAGGATCACAACTTGAAGTGATAGTAAGGTGGAAACGCACATGTCCGAAAGGCTTGGAGAGCGACGGTGGCTTTTCCGCTGACCATTCGTTGATCACCCTCAATGCGGTCGTTCGGGTGTGCTTGGACGGGAACTGGATGAGTTCGCCACTGCGTGCCCTCCGTCTCACTGTCCATTTGGTATTGAACCCTGAAAAAGGCTTTATTAACGAGCAATGAATAAACCAAATCATTTTTTCTTTTGCATGCCTATACATATGTTGAGAGAGAATCGAGGTAATGGTATTAGGGAATTCTTTTGACAAAACGAAATCGAATAAATGGAAAATTTGAGCCTTCTTTGTGTTTTCAGAGCTGCATGTTGCTTTCAGCGGATCGGTCTTTCCAGGGATTGTGGTACTCCTGACTATGCGTTCAAGCAGACCATATCAAGTATGTAGTAGGTATCTCCCGCTCTTAGTACTGCCCCGCACCTTTCATATTAAATTTGATGATTGGACACTTAAATGCCTCAAATGACTATTTAGCTACGAAAGGAGTTCAACAAAGAGAACAAGATCAAACGCGCAGCCTAATGGAATATGGGTATGGATAGCGTCACGTGGAAGGTGAACATGGCATGAGAAGACAGCTTCAAAATCACTCCTTCAGAAATTGTGAGGAAAAAATTTTCCCACGTTAGGACTTCGACGACATTAAAATAATCCCAACTTACATATTTTGAGTTTCAGGACTCTTCCACAAAACACTTATTGAACATGACCGAAGAAAAAAAAGGCTCACCAGAACTCCTTAACAGGCGAGACCGTATCAGCAGGTTCCATGTGTTCGAAGCTGATTTCTGCTGACTGTGAGTCTGCATCACATTTACTAACGTAGGCAGCATGTACAGGCATAGGGACATCTGTAAAAGTTGGATTCAATCTCCATATTCTAGAAGCTATTAAAGCTCTTTTATCAACTAGATTTTTTAGTTCCCACTAAATTTTGAGTGGGAGGAACGCATGACAGCCTTCTCAGGTTCCTCGCAGAAATTAGAATGCGACGGACAACTGTCACGACGGAAACATCAAAACAACACTTTGAACGATGAAAGATCACAGCATGTTCTGAGAATAAAAAAAGGAACGCAACATTCCACTCTAGCGCAAGCGTAAAAACTAATTTTCTCACCAGGACTCATTTTAGACCTTATGTTTTCCATTTACAACCACAATACACTCTCAGCTACGAAATTTGCGACTATTTTGTTCTCTTCTGTATCATAACACTTATTCGAAAACACAACTCTTCTACATATCTATCCATAAGATTTCGAATGGGGTAGTCCGATGACACTTTCGTAGAAGATTTCCTTGTTTGTCGTTCCGTATCAATCCACGCGAAAAAAGTGCTTTCAAAATCAAGAGGTTCAGGCTCGCGATTACCGCTCAGCTTCTCCGTTTGCAAATGTCCGTTCTCATCGTTAAAGAAAACCCAATGCAGAATTTTATCGCAAACACTGCCTTTACGAGCGCTGCTGCAAAAACGCAAAGGCCAGATGCATTGCTTAGAGATACCCTCCACTAAAGCCCGTCCAACTCGAAGGGACCGCGTCGGAATCTCCACCGTGCCTTCTGAGGTTCCCTAAATCTATTTCAATTAAGGTCAATTCTACTGATAACCTATATTTTGCCGTTATATTCTGGAACATCTTCACAATATTAGTGAGGACGTTACCTTTCGATGTGCTGAAAATGAACGGCTGCGAAGAAAGCTGTCCAACAAAAGCACAGAACAAAAATCGATATGAAAACCACTGGACTAAGTATACGTTTAGAGGATTTTTCTGGGGAGTAGGAAGCCCATCTGCGTGACGAACACCGCAAATGGTAGCGCAATTTCGACAGTTGCTCCCTGAGGTGGCGTTCATGGTCGGCGAATCTATCGCCATGATTGGCACGATTGATACTGCCATACTCGCCGTCAGCCGGGATTGTCTGTGGCGCCACATGTTTTCATATGGGACTATCTATCTAGTGATCAGCGCATTGAATTTTATCTCTGTCACTGAGTTGACCAAAAGCAAAGACCCGTAAAGCGACAATCACGTTGGCGAGAGCCTTGAACGACATTTTCATGTCCTTGCAAAATATGCTCAATATATATCAATGCGATAAAAAAACGTTATATCTGTGACTCGTTCGATCAATTTACTTGGCATTTTCTTGTGTTCTAAAGCAGCCCCTCTGCATAAGTCCGAAAAACAATTTCATTTCTTTCGAAAAAAAAAACGAATTTTTAGAAGGGTGAACAACTAGAGACGGAGCAATATGAAAAAAGGACGCCGCAATGCATTCACGCACGAGGGCAGCCGTCAGTGGATCAATTTTTTCTTTTTTTTTGTTTGAGCAGATAACAGATCTACTACACCATGTTTGGAACGGCAGTTTATAGTCCGACATGTACCAGAGGCACGGTTGAAGATAGGCACTCTCGTATTCTATGGCCGATCACAGCAGAATTGCAGGTGAAGCGCTTATGTTGTGCCGCTTGCGCAGCTTGAGTGTGCGCAACAGAGGTGCTATGAGCTTCCACAACCCATAATGCAAGCCTCATCCACAACCCACCTTCCGTTGTCGATCGCAACACTTGTGCCAGAGGAACGAGACCGCAACTCTGGGCGCTTCTCTACTCGTTAATTTAAAGGGGGTTCAATCTAATTCTGAGGAGCTGATCGATGGGAAATCCCTCATTTTTTTACCACTCCCTTCTTTACGCTCGCTTTCATCTATGTATGTTTGCATTGTGTTGTTGTTGTATCGCATGTTTTACTAATCTTGCCTCTACTCCGACACCTACTTGCATGGTGTTCAGTTCCAAAAACTCATTCGAAGGCGCACGCTCACCTCGTCCAGACCTGGTAGAGAGAGTGCCCCCATTTACGACTAGCTTGACAGTTCCTTCTTCTTACGAGTGACCTCGCCTAGCTTCGTATTTGAATAACATTCCCCGCCCCTCGTTTTGAGTTTGAGTTTTGCCTTTAAAAACAAGCTGGCACAAATAACCGCTTGCACTGAGGCTGGTGCCCGAGTCCGCGATTCCATTCACAAAGATCACAAGTGTTCCAATCAATGCTGCGAGGGGCTCTCCAATCCCCCACCTGTCAACTATGAACAAGACCTAAGGAACCATAGCCAATTAAAGGAGGAATTCACGATTAGAATGAAGGTCGAAGAAAGGGAAACTGACCTAGTTGAGGGACCCACGGACCTCCTGAGGGTGCGAACTGACGCGCAATTCGCATGGAAAAATTTGACCTCGGCGACCTATCATGCCTCAAAGCTGGCGGGTCCGGCGATCTCCGCCCACCGATCATCTGATCACTCGCCGTAGTTCAATACGTGGCGAGTGATTAGATAGCTGAGAGAGCGTAGTGTTGAAGAGGGCACAGCGATGAGAGTCGCATCAATGCTCAAATCAACGGGCAAGGAAGGGGTCCCATTTCTCGGGTTCTGGGCCGTTTCTCATGGTTCTTCCTTCTTTCGTGTACCACTCACCATCCCTAGGTTAATTTGAAATGGGTTGCTTTTTCATCGTGAATTCGTCCTTTAAACTCGCCTCAGTGCATGCCCGAGTGATGAGCAAGCCACCACCTAATAATCTGTCCCAAATTTTCCCTCCTTTGCAGCTTATAGAGCTTTGAAACCCCGATATAAGTAGAAGAAAGTTGACCAAACATCAAAATTTTGGTATAAGTACTAAGTACGTGGAATAAGCAGGACTTCACGTAAACTACCACTAAGCCAAATTTCTCTTTCCCCGCATACGCTTCACGCCTTCCGCCGTTGATTTCCACTGGTGATGTCATCACCTCGTGGTAAGGATGCGTATGTGCAAAGATGAGAAATTTCGCACAAGCAAACTTTGCTCCCATAAAATCACATTAAAGTGATACCCCACACTGATTGGATATCGGATTTGATAGCGATCGCTTTCCTTGCCGGTCCTTTCCCCTGTCCTGCTCTCCAGCTGCCACTGCGGCACCATGTGAAATAGCCGAGTGTGCTCAGTGAGGGTCTATCTAGCCATTGGAGCCTTATCAAAATCATGCCACCACATAAACCTTGAAACCGTAAGACCTGTGAGCTCCGTTCTGCTAGGAGAGGGGTTATTCCATTGCTACCTTATCGCTTCCTTTTGCGGACGGTCAAACTTCTCAAATGACATAAACACCCACAGAACCTAGGTACATAATACAAGTGCATATAGCAAGCTAGAAGTTTATATGATGGAAGGATTTTCCGGTGGTATTCTCGCCTTTTTTGGAGCGCGCTTCTAACCTTTTTCATTATTTGTTGGCCAAAATCTTGTATTTCCTTCAGCTCTTACCATGGGAGCTTACGCCCGAACTTTCATAAAAGCCTGGCTCCTTCGTTGAAGTTCGACCACTAACTACCTGATATTATGTACGTTCACCCACTGTATATTTAGCAGAACATTGGTCTTTGTTGTATGAGTTCGTCACTCAAATTGTGCTAAAGAACTGCAACTGTATGCACCCGAGGGACGAACCGTCTGGGAGTAGCTTCGCGTCACTTGAATAACGCAGAACGGATACTATGGCACTGTTGGCTACAAACGGCGAAAGGCAAACCTGCGTGGACAAAAATTGGATACGACGCCCATTCTCTCATGCTACCACTCCATAACACCAAAAAATCTCTTTTCTCCGTCTTAACCCCCCTTTCTTCCGGCTCTCAGATGTTAGCTTTCTCGTTGCTATGCGCCATTACAGTGTATAACGTGAAAGACGTTGCGAAGCCTCTTAGAGTAAAAGTCATACGATCCTCTCGTCCAGTCATGGAGCTTTATGCACCTCTTAAGCGTTTGAAGACGCTGATCTACAGATTTTTTGCCTGTAGCCTGGCATCTCCTGCTACCCCTGTATTTTTGTAAGAGCATGTAAGCCAGCCCCAATCTGAGCTCTTTGGGATTTGCTACGCAATCTACTTCCACTCACAACCACGATGGCATGGTCAAAAAAAAATGATTTCAATGAACAAAAAGTGCTACTACTGTATCAGTGAATAAACCCAACTTGGAAACATTCCGATGGCTTTATGCTGAAGTTCAGAAGGGTTTGCATCAACCAGAAGGAACGAGATGGAACAACGCTGGCTTTTGAGTTGGCCTTATTAGCTACCCCAGTCGAGAACCCACACCCCCCCCCTCATTTTTTTCCAAAGGAAGTTCGCAAGACATGGCCCTGCGCTTCGCGGTAAACCGTAAATTAAAGGTAATTTTCTCGGCTCAATGATCATTTCCCATTAGACATAAGGACCATGTTGCCTAAGTAGCAGGAAGCGATCAACTGCAACTGATTCAATCTGAATAAGCAGCTTACAGTGGAGAGCTCGTTGGAAGTCCCAGCTTTTTAGCGGGCCTGGTCAATTGGCGCTATCGCGCGGGGGCATGGTGGTAGCTTCAAACGTCCTTTTTGGTTAAAAACAAGACTAAGCCTTCGACGGGGGGAGAGGCAACCTCAGGATGCGAGCAATCCTCTCCTAGGCTTCGTGCAAAGAGACGGTGCGCCCTGTGTCTGCGATAGCGCCCTGATTTTTGCTCTCTCTCACATGACCCATAAATCACCTCTTCAGGCATGCCTACAGCGTTCCCAACATCGCGGTCACTGAAAACACCAATCAGAAGGAAAGTCTTCGCCCGTGGCAGTACAATTGTTAAGGTACCCTATTGTGGAACCCGATCTTCGATTTTTGGGAAACAATTTGCTTGACATAAAAGCTATAAGATGTTCTATAGATAGGACTTCTAAAGAACAGAGCCATGCAATAGCGTAGCCCTGCTTTCCACCTCACATCAAAATATTCGAAGAGCATGTCCAACCAACACTGAGGTAACCTACATAATTGCCAACTGACCCACGGGCAGATACTCGCGGTATCTCATTTAACCGTGCCAGCGCATCTGAGAGCAAATAGGGTTCCTCTTGAGTGTAGAATGTCTTATAAGATGGAGAGGTAAAAATTCGCTGCATAGCACAATCAAGCGCGAATCCACATTATACGAAATTAATAGGCTGAAATTCAACGTAGTTATCGAGCTGGCTTTGTTTACGGCATCTTGAATGCAATTCCGCATCCATTTCAATTAATTAGAATGCTGACGGAACGCCTGGCACAATCGGTGAACTTCGCTCTATCTCAATGTATTCAAGATATTTTCTTTAAAATTACACATTTCTCGATCCATTTCCTATCTTGCGATAAATCCCACTCCTCACCACTGATTTTTCCCACAAAGTATTATTAACCCCCACCACCTCCACCATGTCCCATTAGCCATCTACTATTATGAAGCTTGCCTTATTACTCCTGCTAGATTGATATTCCACTACTATCAAAGGTTTATCGATCCATGACGAGATACGAGGGCATGTTCTAGGACCAGACGTGAGAGGAGGAGGAACTCCCGGGTAAACAAAAATTGCTCACGAACTCTGCAGTCTCACTCCTCCGCCTAAGGATTAGTCCCTATCCACAAAAAGGACATGCCGTACGCGGTTTCGAATGCATTGCCACCACAATGCCCGCGCTTGCTATAGTGCCGTTCACCACCTCCCCTAGGCATGAACCTGGATTATGCTTCACTCACCTACATTTACTACAATTCACGAGAGAAAGTCGCAGTACCACCCTCCTACATTCCTTTCTTTTTCGAGCATATTTGTCATAGTCGTCCTCCAACCTTATCACTTCTTACTACTAAAAAACAGCTACGAAGTGATTGCCTATCAAGTCTTGTCAACTCCAGCGACACAGACATCTTTCGCTAACGCTACAGCATACCATCACTTCTCATTAGTGTCAAAATGCAGTCAGATTGGTTTATCGTTCCCTACAAATAGGGTAGTTCTTCGCGCTCCTGGTCAGCAAATATCACACTGTTTATCCCTTCTGACCCATACCTAGTCAACTACACACTTTGTCATCATTTGTTTCCGAACCATACGCTAACCGATTCCAACATTAACGCTTTGCGAGAACCCTATGAAGGAAAGTGACCGATTCTCGAAACACAAGGAAGAGTTAGTGAGCTTCGTATAGTGCGGGAATGAATCCGACCTTACCCTTGATTTGTATCTGGACCTCCTTCTCTACTTTGTCGAGTTTCGTGCTGGCAATACATTTGTACTTCGCCGAGTCATACTGAGTCGGATTGTTGACCAACAATGAATTATCGTCGTCCACCTGAATCGCTTCAAGTGAGAATCACAAACACGCTACAATACAACAAAACAAGCATATTGAAATACAGCAAAATTAAACAGAATGAGAAATATCTAAGACCAAATTGACCTCAGCAGGAAATTTCAGTCAGAAAACCTTACTAAATCTGATAGATCTAATGAATAAAAAAATTAAAATGAAAACTAAA